CTCACATGTTGAACAGTTTTTAAATTAAATGCTGATCCAGATTCTTGCAGAGTAAGTTCTGTCTCCTTGGTTGATTTCAGCTGATGGAGGAGAAGCTGGAGGAGATGACATCACATACAGCGACCTCAACATATTACGTCATCGTCAGCAGCAGCCAATCAGACGGAGCAGAGGTAGTGTCCTGTGTGCTGAGTGTGTTACGGCTGTCTGAGGTTCTTCTGTGACAGGAACCTACAAACAAAACCTGATTTGTACAAAGTCAAACCTAAAACAAGCGCAGCATCAGTTATGCCTTTAACACAAACAGGAATCTGCTTTACTTTGGCAGGAAAGAGTCGTTTCTGACCTCAGACCGTCTGTCAGAGTTCCTCCTCAGCAGGAGGCAGCAGCAGGGTTTCATCCAATCACAGAGCAGAGGAAGCAGGAAGTAACAGACTGCAAAGCATTCTGGTCGCTGTAGGACTTCCTCCTTTGAGCCACCAACAGAAAGACCAGATTTAAAGTTAATGCACCTTTAATCTGCACACATCTTTAATGCAGCGCTGATGTTATATCTGGTGAATCTTCAGCAGACTGTGGCTGCGTATCAGGTGGTTTTGTTCTTTGTGTGCTGGACTGTGTGTTGTGTTGCCTGCAGTGAGTCTGTTCAAGGAAACCAGCAGCTCTGTGGTCGTCCAGCTTCCTGTTTCTGCTGAAAACACTCTGAGTTCAACTACAGACTGCTCTAAAGACTGTTATTGAAATGCTTTCTTTTAACTGACCCTCAAACTGTTCCATCCAGCCGACACGTTCACGTTGTGGTGAAGGTGTGAAGGTGTTGGATTACAGCGAGCAGCTCTGAGGTCAGTGTTTCCATCCTTCACAGCAGCAGAGCTGTTAACAGAAAAAAGCTGTCCAAGCGTAGCCTGTACTGGTTGTGCTGGACTCTTGTGTCTGCAGATAGAACCTGATTACAGCCTCTATGAAGAAGGAGGCTCACAGATCCGGTGAAGGCTTTGTGTGTCATGGTTCTGTTCTGGTCCCGGCTGTAGAACCTGCAGTGATCTGGATGTATGTGACTTTGCAGAGAGCGATCCAGCTGCAGTCTACTCGGCAGTGAGAGGACGAGAAGACGTCAGCTATGGACAAATAGTCTTCAAAGACCGTGGAGGCAGATCGAAGACGACAGGTACAGCTGCTCTTCTTTGTCTCCGTCCTGGTTCAGCTGCAGAACCAGAGTCCAGCAGCTACTCAGAGGCCCGATGGAGGACTCTGTTAGCTTCATTCACTGTTTTATTCTCTGTCGCGGTTCATGTTAGCAGGTGGCTCACATGTTCCACCACATGTGGAGAAGTTCAGGGTCAGGATGCAAAAAACTCTGCAACACCTGAGTACCTGGAGTTGATGTGCAGAGTCAAAGTCCATCCATTCATTTTATATACACCCCTTTATCATCTGTGTGGACCATGGGGTGGTGAATGCAGGGTTCACCTGGACAGGTAGCAGTCCATCACAGAGACTCACGTTCACACCTATAGACAGTTTAGAGTCACTAGTTTGTTGATGCTGAGGATGAGGTTGTTGAGCTTGCACCCCAGACCCAGACCATCCACCTCCTGCTGACTCGTCCCCGCTGGTGATGAGCCCGAGTCCACTGACCCGAACCCGTCCACTGACTTCACCATGAGGTTACTGTCACAGCCAGTTCTGCAGTCATGTGTGAGCGAAGTGTAGAGCAGCTGGCTCAGGACACAGCCCTGAGGGGAGCTAGTGCTGAGCCTGATGGGTGAGGATGTGGTGTTGTTGATCCTCGCAGACGGGGGTCTCATCATCAAAAAGTCCAAGATCCAGGTGCAGAGTGATGGTTCTAGGCTGAGAGTTTGTTTACCGGTGTCTGTGGGATGATTGCTTTGAAGGCAGAGCTAAAATCCAGGACAAGCGATTTCAAATAGGACTCCTTGTTCTCCAGATGTTATGTCGACCGACTTGTTCATGTGAGTCGTGAGCAGCCTCTCAAAGCACTTCATCACTATGGGGCAACTGGAGGATAGTCACTGAGGCAGGACCATAGACTGTATAACAGATGGACGTAGCTNGGACAAATAGTCTTCAAAGACCGTGGAGGCAGATCGAAGACGACAGGTACAGCTGCTCTTCTTTGTCTCCGTCCTGGTTCAGCTGCAGAACCAGAGTCCAGCAGCTACTCAGAGGCCCGATGGAGGACTCTGTTAGCTTCATTCACTGTTTTATTCTCTGTCGCGGTTCATGTTAGCAGGTGGCTCACATGTTCCACCACATGTGGAGAAGTTCAGGGTCAGGATGCAAAAAACTCTGCAACACCTGAGTACCTGGAGTTGATGTGCAGAGTCAAAGTCCATCCATTCATTTTATATACACCCCTTTATCATCTGTGTGGACCATGGGGTGGTGAATGCAGGGTTCACCTGGACAGGTAGCAGTCCATCACAGAGACTCACGTTCACACCTATAGACAGTTTAGAGTCACTAGTTTGTTGATGCTGAGGATGAGGTTGTTGAGCTTGCACCCCAGACCCAGACCATCCACCTCCTGCTGACTCGTCCCCGCTGGTGATGAGCCCGAGTCCACTGACCCGAACCCGTCCACTGACTTCACCATGAGGTTACTGTCACAGCCAGTTCTGCAGTCATGTGTGAGCGAAGTGTAGAGCAGCTGGCTCAGGACACAGCCCTGAGGGGAGCTAGTGCTGAGCCTGATGGGTGAGGATGTGGTGTTGTTGATCCTCGCAGACGGGGGTCTCATCATCAAAAAGTCCAAGATCCAGGTGCAGAGTGATGGTTCTAGGCTGAGAGTTTGTTTACCGGTGTCTGTGGGATGATTGCTTTGAAGGCAGAGCTAAAATCCAGGACAAGCGATTTCAAATAGGACTCCTTGTTCTCCAGATGTTATGTCGACCGACTTGTTCATGTGAGTCGTGAGCAGCCTCTCAAAGCACTTCATCACTATGGGGCAACTGGAGGATAGTCACTGAGGCAGGACCATAGACTGTATAACAGATGGACGTAGCTACCGTGACGTCACCCGTTGGTTTCTGCACTGAGAACATGAAGCCAGGGTTTTGCTACTTCCTGGTTGACATCTTGGATTTTTGGAGCCAGTGACGCAAAAATCGTGGGAGGGGGGCGGAGCCATAGGAGCAGCGATTGGTCAGATGGATTGAGAGGCGGGCCCTCTCTGCCCGCCCACATTTACCTCCTCGTCTGCATCGTCGCTGCCGACTGTCAATCAAGCCAGCCACGCCCCTTACCCCGCAACATTTTGACGATTTTTATAAAATTCAGTCTGGATTTATTTTCAGATTGGCCACCTGATCTCTGGATTTGACCATGAAAACTAATAAGAAAAAAATCCTGAGCTGTAGGAATGCAGTATTTCGTTATCTGTGATCACTTCTTGTTATGGTCGGTGACCACAGGGTGTGTGATTGAGCTGGACCCAGAGCGAAAAGGGAAACAAGGTTAGGAAATAACAGGTTTATTTTAAAGGAATCAGGGAGTGTGGGACACCGGGGAGGCTGGTGAGGGAATCCGGGGCTGGTGCGCTGGTGCTGTGGTGGGGGGGTGTCTTCTCC